TGATATGAAACGATTCATATGGAGGAGTGTCATTACTTGGTTCGGCATCCCAGGGGTCCTACTCTCTGACAACGGCACCCAATTTGATGGAAAGGTTTTCAGGAAGTTCTGCTCTAACTTAAAAATTGAGTTCAGAAATTCTACTCCAGTCTACCCTCAAGGCAATGGTCAAGCTGAAGCTTCTAACAAGGCGGTCATCAATGGGATAAAGAAGCAGCTAGAAAATGCCAAAGGTGAATGGGTGAAAGAATTGCCAAACGTTTACTGGGCATACAGAACAACAGCACAACGATTGACAGGGAAGACGCCTTACTCCCTCACCTATGGGATGAAGGCCATCATCCCCTTGGAGGTTGACCTTCCCACTATTTGGTCTGAAATCTTTGAACTAGCAAGCAATGATGAGGCTATCGCCCAAGCTCTTAACCTAGTAGAGGAGCGCAAAGAAGCCGCCCTCATTTGTTTGGCAGCATACTAGTAGCAACTTACTAGAAGTTTCAATAAAAATGTGCTAGCTAGACAATTTCTACCTAGAGATCTAGAGGTAAGGAAGGTCATGGATCATAAGAAGGTCCCTGGTGAAGGGAAGCTCGGCGTTAACTAGGAAGGACCTTACAGAGTTACCTCTTCCTTGGGCAATGGAGCTTACTACTTGATTGACCTAACAGGCAAACCCATTCCTTGTCCTTGGAATGTTGCCAACTTGAAGAAATACTATCAGTGATATAATGACCTACACATCGTTCGAATGTAATCACAATTTTCTAAGTATTAATGACATCAACTTTTCCTTATAAATTGTGTTCTTTTTCATGTGTCGTACATATTTTCGCTCGACAATTGAGCAAGAATGGGTTATGGGTCTTAACCTATGCCCCAGCCCGCAAATTCGACCCTTTGGTCAGAGTAGGGCGCTGTAGACGTCCCCGAACGCCCTGGGAGGATGAGTCTCGTTCTGTTCATATTGGGTTCACTACAGTTCAGGACTTTCAAATTGTTACGGTTCTTAGTCTGAACCAAAGAGTCCAAATCCGGCAAATCGTTTTGAGAAAAATAGATTTTTAGAAAAGAAGTGCCAAACACGGACTGCTTTGCCAGATACAGGAGTCGCTTACCTAAATATTTTTATGGGGGAATTTAGGAAACCCTGACTCGTTTTCCTAAGGCCACGTGTTCGTCATCACCAAAGTTGCCTCAGCTCGGGAACTTGGGTACGATTGGGGAAGGTCAGCTATGAGCACCCCCGCTCGCCCGATCAAAGATCGGCCTCTACTAACCATGATATCTAGTTTTGAAAACATTATGCGTTCTTATTTCGGTTATTAGCCTAGATTTACTACGTGATGCGCACAGCAAACAAGTATAGACCAAATCGCCTAAATTGGAACAAAAAAATTACATGTTTGTTTTGAAAATGGTTTGCTACTCGCAAGTAGGCTAAAATGCAGGTTTTGCCACCTTAAAGTGGGCTTAGAAAAGATGATTTGCCACTGTCTAGTGGGCTTAAAACTCACAGTTTTAACGCATTATTCCAATTTAGGTAATTCAACCTCCATCCACAGGCATTCAAGCAGTTATATCACATAAGCAAATAGCCTCATTGTAAGCATGTTGTCATGGCAACACTCACACGCATGCAAGGATGCTAAAGCATAAGAACTTACTGAAGTACTCCGAGCCAAAACAGAAACTAGTTAGTAATCATATGCATGATCCTAGTTCATGTTAAGATGGCTAATGCAACACATGCAAGATGCAACTAAGATAGGCTTGGCTAATCTACAATAACATGTGAAATGCTACAACTAACACGTATTCAATTTGGATTTGAAATACAAGTGTAGTTAGCATGATACGCCGAACCCGATGCATGCAAAATGAATGAATGGATGCAAACATGTTATCATACTGTATGCTAATTGAAACATGCCCTAGACTAACCATCGAAAGCTAGCAAATAAAAGGGAAGAAAGACGTAGGGTTGGGAGACATACACACACTCATGCACACTTATTACACAATTGCCCTCACTCGGAGGGTTTGAATAAATATTATACAACCAAATGAATACCGCTAAATTAATTATTACAGAATTCCTAACTAATTAACAAATTAAATGCAAAAGGAAGGTGGCCGCAGCCCTGCCTCAGAATGTGTGAATGATGCATGCTTGACTCGTCTCGCCCGGAAACTCGCTGCTATAGCACTGCTGCCTCTGTTTTCACTGCCTTACTCCCCTGAAAATTCTGAAAATCTCCAGACCCCTTTTGAATCATCCTCTAAGTGCTCTGGGATGTCACCGGCTAGAATTAAAGCTCACCGGCCATGGTAATGGGATTATCGGCCAACTGTTGTACCACCGGTCAGCCACTGATGGTCGGTCGGCACTGTAGGTGGCCGACCGGCCATTACTTCCTGTAGAATCCTGCAGTTGACAGCAGCAGAGGGCAAGTAGTGTATGGCATGGAGTTTTCAAGCAAATGTGAGCATGGCCACACTCCCTATCATGCAATGGACTCAAGGGAGCGTGGCCTTCAACCCTCGGGCCATCAATTACGCAATTCGATGCATGATGGCCTAAGAAACCAAGTTAGCAACTTAATGTAAATGCATGCAACAAACAAATGAATACTAACACCCTATCATGTTGAGATCAAGGGCATCGGCGACCGAGGATTGAGACGTGTTTCGTCACTTTAAGTACGAACACTCTTCAATTCTCATACTTGGTTTGACACCCCAAACCAAGCAAAATGTAATGCAAGTATGCAATGTACCTCACATATGCAACATGGGTCAAATAGGCAACATGAAGCTGAATAAGCAAGGCATGCCAAATGTAATGCAAACTAAACATACCAATGTGTAATGTACTAAAGCATGCAACATGCAATGTAGTAAACATGGACAAATGTGCAATGAGACTAGCATGTGGCAATACATAATGAGCCAAATATGCAACAAACATATGGCAAACGTATAATGGTGGACTTAAACCATAAAGGACAGACCTCAGCCTTGCCATAAACAGTGGCCAAAAGTGCCAAAAATGGAGGACAAGCGCTCATGCAAGCATGCACACCAATGAGCCAAAAACCCGAGCATGGAAGGCTACTTTCAAGAACATTCAAAGGTGGTAAGCATGGACATTAAACACTCAGGTTAACTTCTAAAAAAAAATGTGAATGATGATGCCAAATCATGCTAGGGAATAGATGCAAAATGAAAGGCATTCAAGGCCACAAATGGGAGCACTACTCAACACCCACCCCAAGCAAGCATGGCATGAGCTATACAACCAAAAATAGAGTTTTAATGCACCAAAATAAGTCCCCGAACCCTCTAATATGGCAGCTAAGAGACACAAAACAAAAGGCATGCACAAAAGACCATTCATGGAGTATACGATCATGTCTCTCCAAAGCATTGAAAGGATAACAAAATGCAAACATGCAAGCATAAAACGTGGACTGAAATGGCATGGCAAATGGTTCCAAATCACTGAAAATAGACCAAATGAGGCATGCTTATGGCTTACACACTCAAGGCTCGCAAGCCAAAACACATAGAAACTATACCAAACATGGCAAACATGGTCGAATCAGCACCCAACAGTCCTTGAGCATGGCAAAATAATGCTAAAACCTTCATGAAGTTAAGCTGGAACATGCAAGCATCATGGCTTAAATGCAAGGCACATTTCTAGGCAAAATGGGGGAATGTAAGGCAAGTATGATATGAATGAAAAGGGCCATAAATCCGACCAAAGACAGAGGCAACATATGACCAAATAACATCCAAGAACCTCTGAAATGGGGCCAAAAACATCCAAGCACATATGCTACCCTTATGAGTCAAAAACATGGACAAATGGGACACAAAGGGGAGAGGGATGTCCCTCCCCTATGCAAGACTTCAAACCCCCTTCTTCACCACTGAAAATCCACTGGATTTCAGTGGTGAGAAGGCCAATACACCAAAGTAACCAAAGCTTAACAATGGAGGCACAAAAAGGGCTAAACAAGGCCCTAGAGGGGGAGGTCGACCCCCAACACCAAAACAACCTTAATGAAGTATCTTAAGCATGCAAATACAAGACTTTTTTTAGTTATACACAAAGTCTAAATCAGTAAGCAAGATAGGTTAAAGACTAGTGCAAGATTGGGGAATCTAAAGCAAAAGTGTTACCCTTGAAGAACACCTCAAGAACAGCAAGCTCAGGCCCTTTCTTCTGATCAAAACCACCCCAAAACCTCAAGAACAAACTCTCAAAGCCTCCAAAGTCGAAGTATGGTGTAATAGTAGGTGACTTAGTGCAAAACTAAGGTCAAAACACACTTTTAGTGTCTCTAACACACACAAAAGGGGTGAGAGAGGAAGATGTAGAGAGAGAAGGTGATATATATCAGAATATATATGTAAGCTCTGGTTTTTTGCTCAACCCTTTACAAAGGTCTCCTTATATAGACAATGGAAAAGGCTAAGCTTCCAAGGGAAGCCAACAAAGGGGTCAAGGCTTCCTAAAGAAGCCAAGCCAAAGGGGCCAAGGCTTCCTTAGGAAGCTGGGACAGGTGTCCAAGCTTCTTGAGGAAGCTAAGACAAAGGTCCAAGCTTTCTCAAGAAGCTAGACCAAAAAGGTGCAAAAGGAGCAAAACAGCCACACTCGTGCATGGAGAGGAGGGTCCGTGCATTCCAGCCGGCACAGCTGGCTTGCACCATGCCTTAAAAAGGCAAAAATGTGGCACTGGCCAGAAAAGGAGGCCATCGGCCAAACAGATAGTCGGCCGACCACACTAAGTGCCGACCGGCCAATTGTATATTTCACCAATGGCCGGTAGCCTCAAAACACAACTGGTGGCCTCAAGCCATGGCCGGTGGGTATCAGGGGTAGCTAGCAAGCTACTCTCTACCCTCAGGTGCAAAAACAAACAAGTCCTTGGGGTAAAACCAAGCACAGAACAAGCAAGTCGAGAGATCTTGAGGCCAGGCATGTAGCCAAGACCTTCGGGAACTCAAAACAAACACGAACATGGATGATCACCGAGTGTTCAAGCGGTGACGTCCAAGTCATGAGGACGGTCAAAAATGGGGTGTCTACAGGCGCCAAGTGATATAGCTTGGTGGAATTTATGCCAAGTATTGTTACTTGAAAGCATGGTCCGTGGTACCAACTCGCGCTCAATGAAGAGCCGAGTTACACTCTACGATGAGTTAAGCTTGACCGAATCAAGTAAAGATCGAGCAACAAAATGCTTGGCCTAATCCAACTAGACATTTCTAAGGCACAAAGCCTGGTCTGACCAATCAGACGGTCCACTCGACCATGGAACCTTTGCTCGCCCGAAGGGCATGGAAAGTTCTTTCCTCAAAATTTTTTTAAGCCATAAAGCCTAGCCTTCCTGATCAGATGGCCTCCTTCTCTACGGAGCCTCTGCTCGGCTAGGGTCCATGAAAAGTTCTTTCTTTTAATTTTTCTAAGGCATGAAGCCTAGTCTAACTGAACAGGTGGCCTCCTTCTCTACAGAGCCCCTGCTCGGTCGGGGGCAAGCATAACACATACAAGCAAAATTGAAGATTGAATTTCAAGACTTACAAAAATTCAACAAAGCATTGCATTACTATAAAGCGTCCATTACAAAAAAGGGGAGCTCGGTCTTACAAAATGAAGATGTTTAACTAGCCGAACTCCAACACTTGCAGAAATAAAGTGACAAAATGCAAAAAAAAGAAGTAAAGGACTACTAATTCTCATCACAAGGCTTCTCTTGCTCATTTAGAAATAGGGCTAGGCAGATGAAGGAAGGAAACAGAAAGGGTGGCCTTCGAAGTCTCAGCCATTGATGTCTCCTTTGCTTTAGCAGTCTTAGATAGAACGGGGACGTCCTTGAAGAGGGCAGAAGTATCCTCAGTTCCAAAAGCACGAAAGGCCTCCGTTCAACCCTTGGCAAATAAGCCATTCCTCAGCTCCAGCACTTGTTGAGCATAATCTGCCTTAGCTTCGTCCCAACCCTTCTGGTTGGCCTCTTCAATAAGCTTAGCTTGGTTGGCCTTCATTGCCTCCAGCTTGGCCTCCACTTCAGCCTTTCTTTGTTTAACCTCTTTTTTGGCAGCTAGAGCCACTATAGCAGTTTTCTTAGCCTCCAACAACGCCTTCTCCCTAGCAATGGCCGATGCCTTAGTAGTGGCAGCCTCATCTTCGGCCCTTATCTGATCGGCTTTGGCTGACTTTAGAGTAAGGTCGGTGTTAGCTAGCACCTTCGTAGTTCGGTCCAAGTCTGTTATTTTCTCCAGGCGACGCTGCTCCAGAACATGAAGCCGCTGGGCCAACTGTCAAGGACCAAGATAAAACACTTAGAGAAGTTTATTGAAAGAGGAAAGGAAAGTAATCAAATCAAGAAAAGAACACTTACAATGGTCACTATTTGACTAGATCCCTTGATTAGAGATTCAGAATCCACATTACACTCAACCATGTCCAGGGGTAGAAGTAATGCCTTGGACAGATTGAACAACAACTCACGAGAAGCTGTCGCACTGTCAGCTACAGTAATAAGCCGACTTTTATACTCCAAAGGCGGCAGCCACTCCTCAGCCAAAGTCTGCTCTTTAGAGCCCTCAACAACATCCTTTTCTTTACTCCTATTTCTCTTGAAACCCTCTATGCTTCAGTATGGGTGGTAGTAGGTGAAATAGGAGAAGAAACTTCCTTGGAAGTCTGTACGGATTGTTTTGGAACCAAGACTCTTTGTTCGACCTACCGAACGGTCATAGTAGCCACTTTAGGAACAGGGTCTGTACCATAAGCAAGAGCTATAAGGTCAAGCTTTCGGCGAGTCATGTCTTCTTGGTCGTCAAAAAGAGGGCCCTCACTCGTAATTTCACTTGATGACTGAACAACGGCAGAAGTAGAAGCACCGGTGTTGTCACAAGCTTGTTGCTCAGATGACCTCTCTGGGGGGACTTGCTAAAGTAGTCAATCACATGAACCCTCCTCTCTTTAAGCTTATGCTTGTAAGTGGCCACATAACCAAGTAGTTTTGTCATAGCTTAGTCGGGGTACGTGAAGGCGGTCTCAAGGCCAGATGCTCCTTATTCACTCATGTTTTCAGTTGAGAAGCACCTATCTAAGATCATTTGGGGTACATTAGACTGAACTCTAAGGTAGTAGGTGCCACTCAGGTGATGGGAGAAGTTGTAACAATGGAGTATGTCCCACACCCCTAAGCTAAGGCCAAGTGGCCTCAAGCCATGGCCGGTGGGTATCAGGAGTAGCTAGCAAGCTACTCTCTACCCTCAGGTGCAAAAACAAACAAGTCCTTGGGGTAAAACCAAGCACAGAACAAGCAAGTCGAGAGATCTTGAGGCAAGGCATGTAGCCAAGACCTTCGGGAACTCAAAACAAACACGAACATGGATGATCACCGAGTGTTCAAGCGGTGACGTCCAAGTCTTGAGGACGGTCAAAAATGGGATGTCTACAGGCGCCAAGTGATATAGCTTGGTGGAATTTATGCCAAGTATTGTTACTTGAAAGCATGGTCCGTGGTACCAACTCGCGCTCAATGAAGAGCCGAGTTACACTCTATGATGAGTTAAGCTTGACCGAATCAAGTAAAGATCGAGCAACAAAATGCTTGGCCTAATCCAACTAGACATTTCTAATGCACAAAGCCTGGTCTGACCAATCAGACGGTCCACTCGACCATGGAACCTTTGCTCGCCCGAAGGGCATGGAAAGTTCTTTCCTCAAAATTTTTTTAAGCCATAAAGCCTAGCCTTCCTGATCAGATGGTCTCCTTCTCTACGGAGCCTCTGCTCGGCTAGGGTCCATGAAAAGTTCTTTCTTCTAATTTTTCTAAGGCATGAAGCCTAGTCTAACTGAACAGGTGGCCTCCTTCTCTACAGAGCCCCTGCTCGGTCGGGGGCAAGCATAACACATACAAGCAAAATTGAAGATTGAAGTTCAAGACTTACAAAAATTCAACAAAGCATTGCATTACTATAAAGCGTCCATTACAAAAAAAGGGAGCTCGGTCTTACAAAATGAAGATGTTTAACTAGCCGAACTCCAACACTTGCAGAAATAAAGTGACAAAATGCAAAAAAAAAGAAGTAAAGGACTACTAATTCTCATCACAAGGCTTCTCTTGCTCATTTAGAAATAGGGCTAGGCAGATGAAGGAAGGAAACAAAAAGGGTGGCCTTCGAAGTCTCAGCCACTGACGTCTCCTTTGCTTTAGCAGTCTTAGATAGAACGGGGACGTCCTTGAAGAGGGCAGAAGTCTCCTCAGTTCCAAAAGCACGAAAGGCCTCCGTTCAACCCTTGGCAAATAAGCCATTCCTCAGCTCTAGCACTTGTTGAGCATAATCTGGCTTAGCTTCGTCCCAACCCTTCTGGTTGGCCTCTTCAATAAGCTTAGCTTGGTTGGCCTTCATTGCCTCCAGCTCGGCCTCCACTTCAGCCTTTCTTTGTTTAACCTCTTTTTTGGCAGCTAGAGCCACTATAGCAGTTTTCTTAGCCTCCAACAACGCCTTCTCCCTAGCAATGGCCGATGCCTTAGTAGTGGCAGCCTCATCTTCGGCCCTTATCTGATCGGCTTTGGCTGACTTTAGAGTAAGGTCGGTGTTAGCTAGCACCTTCGTAGTTCGGTCCAAGTCTGTTATTTTCTCCAGGCGACGCTGCTCCAGAACATGAAGCCGCTGGGCCAACTGTCAAGGACCAAGATAAAACACTTAGAGAAGTTTATTGAAAGAGGAAAGGAAAGTAATCAAATCAAGAAAAGAACACTTACAATGGTCACTATTTGACTAGATCCCTTGATTAGAGATTCAGAATCCACATTACACTCAACCATGTCCAGGGGTAGAAGTAATGCCTTGGACAGATTGAACAACAACTCACGAGAAGCTGTCGCACTGTCAGCTACAGTAATAAGCCGACTTTTATACTCCAAAGGCGGCAGCCACTCCTCAGCCAAAGTCTGCTCTTTAGAGCCCTCAACAACATCCTTTTCTTTACTCCTATTTCTCTTGAAACCCTCTATGCTTCAGTATGGGTGGTAGTAGGTGAAATAGGAGAAGAAACTTCCTTGGAAGTCTGTACGGATTGTTTTGGAACCAAGACTCTTTGTTCGACCTACCGAACGGTCATAGTAGCCACTTTAGGAACAGGGTCTGTACCATAAGCAAGAGCTATAAGGTCAAGCTTTCGGCGAGTCATGTCTTCTTGGTCGTCAAAAAGAGGGCCCTCACTCGTAATTTCACTTGATGACTGAACAACGGCAGAAGTAGAAGCACCGGTGTTGTCACAAGCTTGTTGCTCAGATGACCTCTCTGGGGGGACTTGCTAAAGTAGTCAATCACATGAACCCTCCTCTCTTTAAGCTTATGCTTGTAAGTGGCCACATAACCAAGTAGTTTTGTCATAGCTCAGTCGGGGTACGTGAAGGCAGTCTCAAGGCCAGATGCTCCTTATTCACTCATGTTTTCAGTTGAGAAACACCTATCTAAGATCATTTGGGGTACATTAGACTGAACTCTAAGGTAGTAGGTGCCACTCAGGTGATGGGAGAAGTTGTAACAATGGAGTATGTCCCACACCCCTAAGCTAAGGCCAAACAATCTGTTAAGGGCTATGAAGCCACCTATAATCCTAAAAGTATTCATAGATATTTCCATGGGGTGGAGTTTGAAGTAATGAAAAAACTTGAGCCACAAAGGGTCCAAGGGAAACCAAAATCCCCTTTCTACGATGGCTCCTACAAGGAAAGGCACAGTGTCATCGGTCGGTGACCGAGGTGTGTTTAACCCTTCTAACACCAGTGTAATGTCTTCGGGAATATGGTACTTCTCGCGGAAGAGGACTAGTTTGGATGGTGTGCTCACTAGACTCCTAAACTTACCCATTTGACATAATCAAGGGTTCGAAACAAGGGAATGACCAACCAAACAACATGGGGCACGTCCAACAGAAAATTACCACAAGAAACCAAGGAGCAAAAGGAAGGAAGGAATTAAGATGTTATGTAAAACAAATTTGGTGAACTTACAATACCAAACTAGTGCCACCAACTACGAAACAATGACATCCACCAAGCAACGATTGACTGCAAAACCCACAATAGCAACACCGACCTACTAGCAAAGAGAGTTATTGAAGTAGCATCAGAATCACATTTGTCTAAATCAAGGTTCGTACCAAGAAATGAGAATTTGCCAGTAGGTGAAGAAGGTCTTTAGCCATTTTGAAAAAATAATAAGCACTAGCAGATTTATAGGAGCGAGTATCAAATCAATTGAAGATGGAGGAGCAAACCCACTATGGAGACATATAAAACATATATATATATATATATATGTTTAGACAACCAAAGGGGGTTCACTATCTCACGAATAAAAAATAGAAATATGGCTACAGAGACTTACCAACATGGAAGAGAGCATAACCCCTGAAATCGACTAGAATCTCACCGGAGTCAGAAAACAAAGTTAGAACAACGACTCATCAGTTAAGATGTTGGCAGCGAAGCACCAGGAATGGGTACGACCTCAGTCGCCGAATGTAAGGTGCCAAAAGTAATGATGGAGCTTGAAATATGAGACCCTGAAATACCAATCGAGGTGGAGTTCCCGATCGAAAAAAACTCACATGATAGCGGCGACGGCAACGAGCCAAGCTTGCCACAAATAGTGAGAAGCCAACGATAACTAACCAAATCGGCTGACAGCAAAGTTGGAGAAGATGGGTCTTCAAAACTTGCTCCGATAAAAATGGAGTTGCTGGAGTGAGAAGCTGAAAATCAAATGACTGAGAGAAGAAGAAGAGTTGCTGGGTCAACAAAATTTGAAGTTTTGGTGAGAGAAAGTGTAAAAACAACCAGTACAGGGGCCAACCCAAGACAACCACGTGTTTGTTTGGCAGAAGACAGTACATATAGGGTTAGAGCCGAGTTACACTGTGAATCTGTGAAAGACTGAGCTCCTGCAATTTTCAAATTGAAAGAAAGGCAGACCAAGAAACGACACAAGCATTATACCTTGTCAAATGATCCAAACAACTTATTTAAGTGGGCCGAACAAGAATATATTTCAGAGGAGTTAAAAACCCAATAGTGGGACCGAGCCAAAAAGAAAAAAAAGGCAGTCGAAAGTCAAGAGTAATGGGCCCAACTGTAGTTAGTTTTTCATGCTCTTTAGAGGGGTTTATTCTCCTTGGATGCGATTGCCTTACAATTTGGACTCCCGTGGTTCTGAATCTGGTTTCACAAGTGCAATGTGAAATAGAAAAATGAATGAGAGTCCAAATCAGACAATTCCTAGAAAATCCATTAATTATCAGAGACGCCAAAAATGGACTGCATTGCTAGATTTCAGAGTTGTCACCTAAATATTTTTGAGAAATTTAGGAAACCTGTGACTCATGTCAAAGGCCACTTATCCATCATAACCAAAGTGTCTTGGTTCGAGAACTTAGGCACGAGAGGGGAAGGTCATGAATTGAGCACCCCACTCACCCGATCAAAGATCGGCCTCTTCTAAATCATGATATGAATTTTATGGACATTATATGCTCATGTTCTGATTATTAATATACTAACATTACTATGTGAAGAAAACAAGTATAGACCACATCACTTACTTTGGATTGCTTTGATTTCTTGCTTTTTTGAAAAGAGTTTTGAATATGTGCTACTCAAAGGAAAAGCAAGCTCATATGTACGATAATCAAAGTCATTCCAATCTAAGCAAAATAGCCTCCATCCATAGGCATTCATAGAGATATTTCAAGTAAGCGAGTAGCCTCATGGTAGTATACTTGACATGTCAACACAAACACATATATGATATGCTAAAGCAAAAATGCTCACCTAGTACTCAAACGAGGCAAGCCGAAGAAAAGAAGATAGTTAGAAAAATGCATGACCCTAAAGAAATTCGCATGACTAATGCAATACATTCAAAATGCAACTAATAAATTCAGCTACGAATATGACATATGAAGCAACTCAAAGCATGGGGTAGCGCACATAATCATTTAAGAATTGATAAGAGCATTATGTATGATGAGCCGAATTTTAATGTATGCAAAAATGGATGTAAAACATGGGAATGATAAAGGAAAACATGATGCTTTGTAAAACCACGACAAGCATGTAAATAAAAAGGGATAAAGAAATAGGGGTTAGAAGACATATATCAAGTGTTACAAAGTTGCCCTTGCACAA